TAATCATCCAAAAGGACACCTAAGATGAAAACGCAATGCACAGCAAATAATTAAATTCCACAGATAGGTTAAATAACTGACATAGATCTTTATAATGAAATATTACGTGGCCATAAGAACATACTAAGAAAAGATATTCTTAGACAAGTGGAAAATCAGTCAGTACTGCTATAACTCGTTTGGAAAATGTGAATTTGTTCTATCATGATCAGTATAATAGGGAGCAATTTGAACATACACAAAGTTTGTCTCATTATGTATGATTCTGTTCACAAAAAATACCAGGTGAACACAGAGTACTGCACCCAGCTGAACCAACCTGCACAGGAATATAAAACACACCTCTCCTATCCCAAACACCTACCAACTACAACAGTTCACCATATGAATTCATGTTATAAGCCACGCCTATCTACATCTGGTGTTACACCTGCCTGTCCAATTTCAGATAACCCTCCTTCCGCCATGTCACAGAAACTCAAAAGCTGAAATCCTTGTGAAGCCCATTTCTACAGGCAAACCTTGTATCTTTTTTCAAATTAGTATTTACATATTTTTTAACCAATGAACACATATAAAATTGTACAACTGTTTTGTTAGGTTCATATCTTATTTTTTAATATGTCACCAAGGAAGTTTTTGGATTTTGTTTCCCTAACCCCACTTTCCCCATAAACTCTGTGGTTCTTATTGTGCACATTTGCATAGCACAGTGATTTTTAGAGATGTATGTGTTTGTTTATAGCAGAAATATTTATGTCCAATTGATAATTTTAAAAAGCTGCAGATTATTATATACAGGTACCCCTACTTTACAAAAATTAGCAGTAGGCCACTTTACTTTTACAAAAAACCTACACTAGTACCGTTTTTGCTAACTGAAAGAAACCCAAAGTGAAAAACAGATACAGTGATTGGCATTTGTTTTGCAGAGAGAGAAACTGCACACCCCAAGCAGTGAGAGTGGCCAGGCCAAGTTCCTTCCCTGGGAACCACATTCAGCATCTCTGTATCAGGCCACCATAACTCTGAGCTGGGTCTGTGAGTATCTGTCCTTTATCTCGATTTTGTGTGTCCATTAGCAAGATGAGGTCCTGAAGTATCTGAAAAGCCTGAGAGAGATCATTTTTGGGGCCTGGGAATGCTAAAGAATTTTTCCATATAAATGAATGATAATTGCTTCTTCTCTTTACATCAATTTGGCTTACAAAAGGTTTCACAGGAACACTCTATTTTCAGATAATGGGGAAAATCCTGCATAGTGTAATCCCATTTTTGTTAAAAAAATTTTTTTCATGTCTACAGGTATGTGTATATATGTATGAATGTTTAGAAAAAGGTCTAAAAGACCTCCATCAAATTGTTAATAGTGATGTCTCTGAAGGCAAGAGTGCAAGTAACTCTCACTTTAAATTGCATGTACATTTTTTATTTAAATACAATGAACTGGTATTACTCTGCAATTTTAAAATTTTCCTTTAAAAGACAGATCTGTTTCAATACAAGAAGTATGAAAAGAGTGATTATATAATCTGATTATGTTATCCCCCTGCTTAAAATCCTTAATACTTGATACCCAAATTTGTTCATATTTATGAAAGGTCTGGCTCCTCCTATCTTCTCCAGCCTCATCCTTCACTGTTAATTCCCTCATTTATATACTCAAGATTTACTTAGAATGTTCTACATGCAGGCAGGAGGGATAAAGCAGTGAGCAACTAGATACACCCCATTCTCACACAGCCTTCAATCTGGCAAGACAGGACCTTAACCAACCACAAAACTGCACCTAAAATTACTGCATTAGAAATGTGATATTGCAAAAGGCAAATAGCCAGGCTAAGGGGTCAGGAAAAACTTCCCTGAAAAAGGGAAGTGATATTTAGGCTGATAATTTAAGGATAAGTAAGAAAGGGGCTGGTAAAGAGAGACACGCATTGTGGGCAAAGACAGAATGTGCAATAGCCAAAGGCCAGAAAAGAGCGCTGGCCCCTCAAGGAAGAAGCCAGTATGGCTGGAGAACACCAACAAAGGGGGGAAGAGAGGTGTAAGGGCAGAAAGAGCAGGGGCCAAATCACATGGGGCCCAGCAGACTGCATTAGGGATTTTGGACATGATTCTAAGAGCAAAGAAAAACAACTGAAGACTTTCAAGTAGGGAAGCAACATGATCAGACATGTGTATCTGAAAGCTCATTTGGTTACTACCTAAAAAGAAAGGCCTAAGGAGGATGAGGAATAAATGTGGAAAGACCATTAGGAACTTCTTTCAATTGTCTGTAGATTACTGAACTGATGATAGATTACACTAGGGTGGTGGTAGTGGAAATAGAGAAAAGTAAATGGATTCAAATTATGCTCAGGTGGTGGATTCAGCAGCTCTTGGTATTGCCTAGATGTGAGGGTAAAGGAAAGGAAAGGGTAAGTAAAGGTTGACTCAAGTCTCTAGCCAAGAGTACTTCTCACATCCTAGCCATCTGAACTACCTCCAGCAACTGAACCACCTGAAGTGCCCTAAACCTGCAGGCCCACTCAAGCTTTCATGCCTCAGAGTGCAAATACCCTTACATCATCCTCAGCTGCAAAATGCCTCCTCATCCTAGCCTTCCCTAACCATGCCCATATTAGATGCTCTAAGCACGTGCTACCACAGCCACTCATGCTTACCCTTACCACTGTACTTGGCACACTACATTATAACTATGTATTTGTTTTTATCTTCCCCACGACTGAGTGCTCCCTGAGGTTAAAGACCACTTTTAGTTGTTTTATTCTCTGTATCCCTAATGCCTAATTGCATTTGTGAATAAATCCTACTTATCATCTGTGTGTTCCAAGGAATAGAGGAAGCAAACTGAGTTCTTGGGGCCTGCTGTACGAAAGAAAAGAATGGGAAGCTGACTTGGGTTTGAGAAAGCAGGTAAAACAGGCAGTGTGTTTTCCTGACCCAAATAATGAAAAGCTATCATACAGCAGACGACTTCCTCAAGTGCTGGTAGTAAACAAAAGCCCAACTCACAGATATAAATATTAAGGAAAGTAATTACCCAAGAATGATGTATAAGCTGAATATATATTAACAACTTCACAAACAGTTTTGAAAACAAATTACCACATTTTACTCTACATACATGTGTAATTATTTGAAATTTTTACAAAAACCATACACATATATTATTTGTATGATTAAAAATAAAATTTAATGGATCCAGAGACAGCCTACATGCTGAAAATGCCTTTGAGATACACATAATAAAAATACAAGTTTATAAACATATTACTTAAAAAAAAATCTCATAGAAGAGTGAGCTCTACAGAAGATCAGTAATAACTTTTATAAGGGATACTCCCCAACTTTGAGGCCAAGGTTGAAGAATGCCATAAAATGCATTCTCAAATTGTCATTGCTTTCATTTTAAAGATAGTCAGACAGTGGAGCTAATATAATAGAACAATTTATCTCTTATTCAAATGGGCTTCCACTTCAGGGCTGTAATACCTAAACTAGAAGAGGGCAGCCATGAGGGATTCTACCACAGCAGCAACTCCTCTGAAGCACCCTGACATACTGTGACCCCATGTACACCATGGCACATAGGAAATTGGTAGTTTCATTTATAAGCAATGATTCCAAGTCATACAGAAAACAGCTGAAGACTAAGAAGGATATAGGAGGATAAATGGAAAATTTTAATTAAATCCCAAAGGACAAATTCTCCTATCTTACCACCTCTGACTCAGCTTCTTAACAGACAACCATGCCTCCAACTTCTTAAGAGAGAAAACATCAAAAGGCCCTCCCTCATCTTCCTCCTAAACCACCAACAAACCTATCAGCATCCCATCCCCAGTTACATTCTTCCTTTCCTTCCAGCATAAGAAAGAGGCAGCTCTTACCCTCTTTCAGGCTAATCCTGTCACTTGTGCTCCAGATCCTACTCCCTTAACATACTGCCATCTACTTCCTTTCTTTCTTAGATCTTTAACCTACGTATTATTCTGTGATTTTTCCTCCAGTAACTAAATCAATTCTCATGACTTCATTACCATCTATAAAAGCATATATATCTTCAAATACCTTCACCTCTGGCTTAGACAACTCTCCTCAGCTTCAGTTATCTGTCTACCTCTAAGTATCTCCACTTCAATAACCTATGGAAATTCCAACATGTCCAAAAACAAATGCACCTTCTGTCTCCTAACACCAACTCCACCTTTATTTCCTATCTCAAGTAATGGACCATCATCCACCCAGTTTCCAAGGCAGAAACACCTAGGTAGGTGCTGCTTTTCAGTCCCTCTCTTCTCTCTCAGCTCCCCCTGTTCAATCAAGTCCTTTGGATTCTACCTCATAAACATACCTCATATCCACTCACTTCTCCCCATCTCCAAAGCCATTTCCCAATTCAGGTCCTTCTGACATCTCACCTGAATTACTGTAGGCCCTCCTACTCTTCTTATTTCTAGTTTCAAATTTCTCACAAAGCCACCAAAGTTATATTTCTAAAATGCATACCTGACAGGCATTTCCCTACTATAAGCATTCAATAGCTCCTTACCACCTTCAGGATAAAGGTTATTGCATGACCTGTCAAGATGTGGTCCAGGCTCAACCCACTATCCACTCCACTATGAATTTTACTCTGAAGGCACAGTGAATCAACCCTTTGCAGTTTTCTAAGTACTGTGCTCTCTCCCTCGCTTCACAAAATCCCACCAGAATCCTAAAAGCATCATATTTAACTCCAAACCCAAAGCAGCAAAAAATTTTTGCCTTAAACTGAGTAAATCTTCAGTGCCACATAGTGGTGAGAGAGGGTAGCACATAAGAAAGATGAAGGAAGTGTAGGTGGAGGAGATGGACAAGGATATCAGCAAGCCTGAAGTGATTTGCCTTCCCTGTGATTAACGGGAAATGTCTGCACAGTGCCTCCTAGTTGCATGCACTGGGGACACCCATGCTTACTTGGTTAGTCTTGCTCAACACCCTCAGGAACTTACATCACTGGGGCTCAGGTTGCCCAGACCATTCTCCTGCTCAGAATCCTTCCCAGACTCAGTGCCCTGGGAGGACCGGGGATGGGACGGATGGATCCAGATCTCCAGGCGAGTGGTGTCATCTCCAACATGATGGAAAGTAGACTTCTTTCCTTTCCGCCACTGGTCAGGGCTCAGCTCCAATTCCTCATGTTGCTTCCTTTCCATCTGTTCTGCCTGAACAAAACACATACACACACAAGTCAGACTCTCCTGGGATTCAGCTAATAAAAAGAAGCACTCACCTCATCTGAGTTTGTTGCCCAATGACTATAAAAAATGAAGACATTGTCATAATTCCAAAGTATGTATTCCAAAGAGTATCATCTGTTTTGTCTCATAAAAATTATTAATTCTGCAAACTAGATGCAGTGGAACATGCACACCAGAGGGCCCTGGAAAGCTTGCCTACAGATGAGTTTGGTTGTGCATAGGGGCTGATCAACTCCCCATCAACACAACCTGAAGGAACCCCTTGAGGACATTTTAGTCATTCCCTTGAAGAAATGATTCTGCCTGTATCCCCACTCACCTTTCGTTTGGTCTCTTCGAATAAGCTCATGAGACTCTCCTTGGCAGTCAGGATAGGGTTGCTGGCAGCTAAACTGCGCATATAGTAATACACAGCATCAAGCTTCCTCCTCTGTGGAAAGAGGCCAGAGATACTGAGTCAACCATTTCCCTTCCTGACTCTAGCCTCAGTCAGCTGACCCAGGAAACCCTACTATCTCTCCCACATGTGTTCCCATGTTATAAGGAATTCCAATAAGGAAATCAGAAAGTACCCACAGAAGAAGCCATACCAATTACATACGAGATCTTTTCTTGCACAGTAACTTCTCTTATATGCAGAAGTATTTTAAAAGCCAAGTACTCTTAATGGGAGAAGAGAATAGTCTCATGAAAACATAGAAACCAGTTATATTTTATTTTTAGAGAAAGAAAAAAACTCACCTTCAAATTATTATTTTTAAAAATTATAAATAACAATGGTAACATCATTAAGCATAAATGGGAGGCAAGTGACCAGCACTTCATAGATACTGTCTCTAAACCTAAGGACACTGCCCCGTGGGTGGTGTCATTCCTCTTTTAAAGATGAGAAAATGGGAGATCAGTAACGTTATTATATAACTTGTCCAACAAAGTTTCAAAGTCAAATTCTAGATAAGCCAATATTTGAACCTAAGTCTGTCTGGCTCCTACGTTCATGTTTTCACTACACCGTACTGACTCTGCTAGGAAAAAGAAATATGAACTATTTTCCAGTGAATTCAGCAAATACATACTGCAAGTCCACCTCACAACCAATTAACAGGGAAAAGAAGTAAAGGGGAGTCAGAAAGAAGGAAAAAACAAAAACACTGAAATAAGTGGGAAATAATTCCAAAAATCCTTTCTGGCTCTTCAACTTCGTAATATTTTTACCTTTTTTTCTAACTGTCTCAAATGTATCTGGAACACCAACTTCTCTCTCTCTGTCCCTCCAGTATGTATTCAATTCCTCAAAACTTGCATAAATCTGCATGTTCTAAAGTCAATTACCTGAGTCTAAATCTGGTCCTGTCATTTATTAGTAAAAGTATAAACCTAAGGAAGTCAACCTCAAAAGGTTTCCTTATTCACAAAATGGAGGTTGTTTTCATATATATGGGTCCTGAAAAGATTAAAATTCATATAATGCAAAGGACATGATCAACAAAACAAAAAGGCATCCTACAGTATGGGAGAATATATTTGTAAATGACATATCCGACAAGGGGTTAACATCCAAAATATATAAAGAACTTACATACCTCAACGCCCAAAAAGCAAATAACCTGATTAACAAATGGGCAGAGGATATGAAGAGACGGTTCTCCACAGAAGAAATTCAGATAGCCAACAGACACATGAAAAGATGCTCCACATCACTAATCATCAGGGAAATGCAAATTGAAACCACAATGAGATATCACCTCACACCAGTAAGGATGGCCAGCACAGAAAAGACTAAGAACAACAAATGTTGGTGAGGATGCGGAGAAAAAGGAACCCTCCTACACTGCTGGTGGGAATGTAAGCTAGTTCAACCATTGTGGAAAGCAATATGGAGGTTCCTTAAAAAACTAAAAATAGAAATACCATTTGACCCTGGAATCCCACTTCTTGGAATATACTCAAAGAATACAACTCCTCAGATTCAAAAAGACATATGCACCCCTATGTTCATCACAACACTTTTTACAATAGCCAAGATATGGAAGCAACCTAAGTATCCATCTGTAGATGAATGGATAAAGAAGATGTGGTACATATATACAATGGAATACTATTCAGCCATAAGAAAGAAACAAATCCTACCATTTGCAACAACATGGATGGAGCTGGAAGATATTATGCTCAGTGAAACAAGCCAGGTGGAGAAAGACAAATACCAAATGATTTCCTTCATTTGTGGAGTACAACAATGAATCAGAATTGAAGGAACAAAATGACAGCAGACTCAGAGACTCCAAGAATGAACTAGTGGTTACCAAAGGGGAGGGGTGTGGGAGGGCAAGTGGGGAGGGTGGGAGAAGGGGACTGAGGAGTATTATGTTTAGTACACATGGTATGGGGGAATCACGGGTAGAACAGTATATCACAGAGAAGGGACATAGTGGATCTCTGGCAACTTGCTACACTGATGGACAGTGACTGCATTGGGGATGGGTGGGGACTTGATAATATGGGTAAATGCAGTAACCACATTGTTTTTTCATGTGAAACCTTCATAAGAGTGTATATCAATCATACCTTAATAAAAAAAAATTTTTTTAATTTATATAATGCATACACTTTAACAGACTATCTGGCATACTGTTACAGTCAAATGGGGCTATTTTTAATATTATTTCAATTCATACTAATCTCTGCCTATATCACTCACTTGATTTTAGACTGTATTTGATTGAGCCTACAATTATTTTTTTCATATTTTAACATCTCTGAAATTGAGATACAACTTATAATCAATGTCTACCAGTATGTCTTATTTATAATAATTTACATTTTTCTTTTAGTGGTACAGAAAATAATGGTGCATCTAACCATCAGTTGCATTGTATTGCACCAAGTCTAATTTATACCATTGTCTATATATCTCATTTGTTTTTTCAATAGTTTTTTTTTCTGGGCAGAAACCATATCACATATTTATCACTCACAGCACCCAGCAAAGCTATACACAAGCATGTTCTCAGTAAATACCTCATAGTCACTGAATGATTGGAGGACATGGAAAAGGTGATGTTCGAAGACAAAAAAGATAAGAGGGAGGCAGAAAAAGAGACAGAGGAAAAGAACTTGAAAGGAGTACTGCTTTAAATCAGAGGTCCATGAAAGAAAAAGATACCAATTCAATTAGACGGAAAAAAGCCACTGAGGGAACTCAGTAAAGTTATGACACACAAGATCAATACTCAAAAATCAGTTATATCTCTATATAATTAGTAATGAACAATCTGAAAGATAAATTTAAAAAAAACTCTTTATAATAGCATCAAGAAGAATAACATATTTAGGAATAAATTTAACTGAGGAAGTATAAAATTTATACACTAAGAACTACAAAATGCTTTTGAAAGAAATTAAAGACCTAAATAAATAGAAAACATCCTGTGTTTGTAGAACAGAAAGACTTAATAGTGTAAAGATGTATACACTCCCTAAAGGAATCTACACAGTCAAGGCTATCTTCAAAATCCCAATGACTATTTCTGCAGAAATGAAAAAGCCAATCCCAAAATCCATATGGAATTGCAAAGAATACCAAATAGCCAAAACAATCTGTAAAAAGATGAACAAAGTTGGAAGAGTCACCTATCCTGATTTCAAAGCTTACTGCAAAGCTACAGTAATTAAAACAGTGTGGTACTGGCATAATGGTAAACATATGGCTCAATGGGAGAGAACTAAGAGGACAGAAATAAACCTATGTATACATCAACTGAGTTTTCACAAGGATGGAAAGAACCGTCTATTCAATGGAGAAAGAACAGTCTCCAACAAATGGTGCTGGAAGACCTAGATATCTGCATGGAAAAGAATGATAATGGACCTTACTTCACACAATATACAAAAATTAACCAGAAATGGATCAAAGGACTAAATGGAAGACTGAAAAACTACAAAAACTCTTACAGATATCTAGGAGGAAAAAAGTCTTAACTTTGAATTTTGTAACAGTTTCATAGCTGACACCAAAAAACAAGCAACAAAGAAAAAGACAGATAGATTGGACTTTAATAAAATTAAAAATTTTCGTGCATCAAAGAACACTACCAAGAGGGTGAAAACCACAGAATGGGAGAAAATATTTGTAAATCATGTATCTGATAAGGATTAGAACATATAAACAACTCCTACAATCAACAAAAAACAACCCAATTAAAAAATATGCAAAGGACTTGAATAGACACTTCTCCAAAGATATACAGATAGCCAACAAGCACATGAAAAGATTACTACTCATTAGAGAAATGCAAGTCAAAACCACAATGCCCTAACACTTCACACCAATTAGGTTAGCTACTATACAAAAAAAAAACCACCCCAGAAAATCACAAGTGTTGGCAAGGATGTGGAGAAATTATGCAGTATTGGTGGGAATGTAAAATGGTACAGTTGCAGTAGAGTGGTTCCTCAAAAAACTGAAAACAGAATTACCATATGATCCAACAATTCCACTTCTGGGTATATATCTAAAAGAACTGAAAACAGGTCTTGAAAAGATATTTGTACATTCACGTTCACAGCACAATGCCAATAGGTGGAAACGTCTATCAAGAGAGGAATGGATTTAAAAAACATGGTGTATACATTAGTATTTTTCAGCCTTAAGAAGGAAGAAATTCTGACACAGCTGTAATATGGATACCTTGAGGATATAATACTAAATGAAATAAGCCAGGCACAAGGAGACAAATAGTGTATGATTCCACTTATGTAAGACAGCTAGAGTAGGCAGATTCACAGACTGAAAGTACAAGGGTGGTTGCCAGTGGCTGGAAGGAGGGGAGAATAGCCAGTTTTTTAACAGCTACAGAATTTCAGTTTTACAAGATAAAGAGAGTTCCAGAGATTGCTTATGCAACAGTGTGAAGGTACTTAACACTGTTGAAATACACTTAACAACAAGTAAGATGGTAAATTTCATTTTATGTGTATTTTACAATGAAAAATATTTTTGATTCTTAAATATTTTTTTAATGGGCAAAGGACTTGAATAGACATTTCTCCAAATGGCCAATAAGCACATGAAAAGATGTTCAATATCATTAGTCATTAGGGAAAGGAAAATTAAAACCACAAGAAAATATTACTTTACACTTTGTAGACATCAACAGATTCTAAAGTTTATATGGGAAGGCAAAAGATCCAGAATAGTTTATGCAATATTGAAGAAGAACAAGGTCAAAAGACTGACACTACCCAACTTCAAGACTACAGTAATCAATATAGTGTGGTAGCGCCCAAAGAACAGACAAAGAGATCAATGGAACAGAATAGAGCCCAGAAATAGAACCACACAAAACATCCTCTGGCCTTGAACAAAGGAGCAAAGGCAATTATGGATAAAGGACAGTCTTTTCAACAAATGGTGCTAGAACTGGACATCCA